CTTTATAGCTTTTGATATGATTTCAGTGCTTGTGTATGTTGCCCTTAAGAGAGCCAGAGCAGCTCCACTGAATTGTGTACGGCTTTGATTGTGCAACATGTTCTGCATGAATACACGTTTATTTATATCAACTTTAGTAAAAAAACTTTTTGCTAAAACTCACTGAGTTAGGAAACCTTAATTTTAAACCCTGTTAGTCTCATTAGTAAATACGCTTCATAAAATCATTGCCAGCATGTAGATGCACTCAGTCCTGGAGTTATTCTTTTAACCACTGCAAGCATTTTTACATCAATTTTTTAAAATATTGTGAGCCTCAGCTTTTCCTTGAGTAGACAGAAAGCAAGTTGTTACATGAACAGCATTACCAAAGCCCATTTTCCCACAGACTCGTCCCATTTGTGCCTGGATCCCAGCTTCAAATCAGTAACCCTAACTCACTCCTCTCCATCCTCCCTCCTTAACATCTACTATGATGTCTACGTCAGGGTGGTAATTCATATCAACAAGTACGATGACTGGTCACCAGCCATGACCCCGGAGTATGTGGAACTGCTAAGTCGTGCCTTAGTTTCCTGTGGAGAGGGCAGAGGTCTGAGTGTCTTTGCCTCCCCCCTCTCCCAGGTTCTCCTGAGACTTGCTGAGACTCGGTTATTTTTGAGACCTCAGCCCCCTCACCAAAGAGTCTGCGTCACTAGTAGATTCAAAATCTGGCAGGGCGAGCCTCAGTGGCAGATGGACAGACAAGCAAACAGTGCTCTTGCCAAAATTTTGTTTCCTTAGGCAACCATGAAAAAAAGAAATAGCAAGATTATTCTAAACAGTGTCCTTTCGACTTTAAAATAACTGCAAAACCTGTTACAACCTTGTACCTTCCACACAACAGCTCTGGTTCCTATTTTATATACTGATTTATATTTTTTATTTCTTTATTTTTAAGAAAGCATGTAGTCATATGGACTGCATATATAGCATAAATAGCCATGGAGATTCCTAGAAAAAGATGTAATTCTGTAGAATTCCTTTACATGCATTTGCATTTTCTGCAGCTTCATTTTCATGATCCTGTATTAATTTTTCATGCAAAGTTATGAGCAGTTAAATAAGAGAGTCTGTGTTACTGATATATTAATGACTTAAAATAAATAGTGCTTTAAAATTATGAGAAGTCAAAGGAGATTGATAAACTATATGTAAGTTTTAGAGGAGAGGAAAGTCGTATGTCTTTTCTCTTGTGTGTTGGAGAGAGATGAAAGTAGCTGAAGAGATATCATGCCTCTTAGCTGTATTATCGTATAAAGATGATAAACAGCACACACAGAAATTGCTTTTTTTCCCTATTTCTTACAGTAGGCTGCATTTCTCCTTACTAATTAGTCCATCTTCCTCCAAAATTAACTAATTACAAAAACTAATTGCCTGAATACATTTGGTCATTTTCTATATTTTCAAATGCTGGTTCAGCTGTGAAATTGTTTGAGAAAACTGGGTATTTAAAATTGCATTTTACACCAAGGGATCTGTCTTACTACTTTGGCAAAAGTCCCAGTGACTTCTGTGGGAGGTTTGCCAGAGTAGAGCATACATTAGTGTTCCTTATGTAAGAAGCAAGCAAGTGAAAATACTTTTAGGTTTTCAGTGTGGTGGGTTTTTTTTCTGACACCTTGACAACAGTAATATCTAGAACTATTTTTGCAGGATGAAAAAGCAGAAGGATTCATCAGCCTACCTGAATTTAAAATTGACAGAGCCAGTGAATGCCGCAAGAAGTAGTAAGTATGCTCAAAAATAATGTAAGGATACGATAGAAGAAGTGGAAAAAAGGACAAGGTTTTTGCTTAAAACAGTGACATAATGGACTTTGGTACAATCATCACTTGGTTGTATCACAGAATAAGCATGTACAGACCAGACAAATTCAGTGTGGTTCCTGTGTGCTATCTTTCCTGAAGAAGGTTTGTTTTTTTACTTTATCATGATTCACAATACTTGACTAGAGCAAAATGAATTAAGAGCAAGAAGACTGCTTGGCTGCTTCGCATTCTTGGCTCTTTACATTCTTAGTTTTCCTTCGTTTCCTTTCTGGTTTTAGTGCAGGTTTTTTTGTTTATTGAGTGTTGGAGTGTGTGATACCTTTAAGCTTAATAAAAAGCTTTAAGCATGATAAAGAGACCACCCAAATAAAAAAGTACCCAAGTTCATGGCCAGGCATCAGTCTTTAATGTAACTCTAAATTAGTTAGCATCATCTCAAAGTTTGCTGACACAGTGTATTGGTTCTGAGGCACAGTAGAAAAAGAGAATGATAGTGATTTTCTGTATTTTTGAAGTATGACCTAAAGGTCTCAAATAACTTTTCTTCTCACATAGCTGTGTGTGCTGCTGTCTGGATTTGTGCCATTGCACAAATCCATTTCATACATAGATGCAAATTCAAGCATATATAACAATGTGACAGGTGCATACTCCCACAGAGGTATTTTTAGAGTCATTATTTCTGAAAACTTCTTGCCTTACCTTCTAATGGTTTCTACTGTTAAGTTTATCAGAACTGTGGAATCACTGAAATTTGTGTGGAAAAGCAATTGCAAAAGTAACATGGTGTGATTTGTAGTAAGTACACTTCTAAAGAGGACAGACCTCCTATCAATTGGTCTACAAATGTCTTCAGAGTGAACTTTACTCTTCGTGATGGTCTCAGAGGGCAAAAAATGAAAACTGAATTTGAAAAAGAAAAAGATATAATTGTCTTGTGTCCTTGGGCTACATTGCTAAACTGCTTCATTTTTTCTTATTGGGGCAATGGCATAAAGTCAACTGATTTCTCAGAATTGCACCCTGCATAAATTCTTGGGTTTTTTACTTGATTTAGTATCTACTGGTAATAGAACATAAAATCTGACTATTCCTTACTTGTGTGGCAGATAAAGAAGAAAAAACTCTTAAGAATCCAGACAACAGATTCTGTAACAATTTTAAGAGGTCAAGTTTTGGGTCTCAGTAACCTGATGATGTCTTTCTAAACTGAGCAGATGTCACCGTACATCTGCTTTCACTTATATAATGTTGTGTCTCGCTCTAATGGATTAGAGGAATTCTTTTTGCCTCAATTTTACTTTATCTTCACTAGCGGTAACTTTTCCTGCCCATAAATTTCAATTTCCCTGATTTATTAAAACATCTTTTCATACATTTACATGTACATATACACACAGACACACATGTTGAAAATTGCAAGCCTGATGCACATGAAGAACATCATTATCATTTTTCTGAGATACAGTGAATTAGAGAGAGTGAGAATTATTTTGTTATCTTTATATATATATAAAATCCATTGTGTCTGATGGTGCTGATGTTCTTCATGTATCATGTTGCAGTTTTCCTTATTTTCTTTGGGACTCATGCATACTTTGTTCTTATTTTAAGAGAGACCTTCAGGCTATTCTCAGAAATTATTCTTCTGTACTGTAAATTAGTAATTACTTTCAGATGCATTTTCTGAATCTTCAAGTACTTCACCATAAATCTTTATCCAACATAGTTAAAAAATTCTTTCTAGTAATTTATTTCATATTATGTATGAAATGCAGTAATTCTCTCGGCCTAGTCATGTTGATTACTTTGGTGGAAAGAAAAGATGACATGTAATTGACCGTTGCTTGGAATGACCTCAAGAACACAGTGCTGATTTATAATAGCTTTTCAGAAGTCAATCAGTGCATCACATTTTTCTATTTGAAATGCAGTCATTAGACCTAAAGGTAGTGTCAAGGTCATTGGGATGTGAGAAATTACCAGGACTGAGTGTTTTTCTCTTGTATCAAATAGATGGTTCCGTCAATTTTCTGTTTAAAAAAATGGACACATACAGGTATGTCAGCAAAATTACTGGATGCATAAAGGTATATTCCTACCTGGTTAAGGATCCTTAACTGGTTAGTGCACTGCAGGTGATCACTGAACAATATTTATGCACATAGCAATCAAGCACTATTTAGAAAGGGGTAGTCGAAGAGCACTTTACTTGATGAAATCTGGCACAATCCTAAGAGTTGTATGTTTGTGTATTGTTTAAAGCATCCAGCAAATCAGGAAATCTGAACTCATCTCATTCCTTGGTGACCCTCTATCTTACATTTGGAAAAAAAAAGCAAAAGAGTTGTGCCATTACATTTTTTTTAATTATATTTTTCCTCTACAGTGCATTCAAAGCCTGCCATCCTAAGATCAAAAGTTTTTATTTTGCTGCTGAACATCTAGATGATATGAACAGGTAAGGCAATCTAACATAATTCAAGGAACCATTCCTAAAATGTGACACTTTCTGAAGCTAGTAATAACACAGTGATAATAAATTGTGTTAATCTAAAAAGTTTAGTAGCTGAGAAAATAAATGCAGAGTAGCATTATTTCTAAGTGACTGCATATGCTAAATACTTGATTAATGTAAAGATTACTTTTTTTTTTAATCAAAGGTCTGACAATATTTAAAAACAAGATTCCCTCTTTCTCAAAAGAAAGAAATATAGTATGTAAAGCAACATCCAAATGCAATTTCAGGATTCCAGGTTTCTGCTTTTGGCTGTGCAGCACCTGCAAAGGTGCAATATCCCCAGCTCTGCTTCCTAACATACTCCCAAACACGTGTTGCTTGCTCTAGGGATGCTTCTTTTTCTGGCCCCAGAGGGGGGCCAGAAAATTTGGAGAAAGATTTGAAGCAGTCATTGTTTTTTTCTTCTGCCAGTCTTGAAAAAGGAGGTAGAGATTACAAGGAATAGATTTTACTGAGTCCCTCTAGTGTCATGAGTTTAACCTACATGTTGAAGTGAAATTTTGGTTATATTTAATTTAGTGGGGAAAATATCAGCAACTCAAAAAGAGTAACGGCTTAAGTCTTAGTTCTTTGGGTATCGAGTTTTACTGTAACTATTTTAGGCCACTTGTTGAATTTTTTCATAAAATTGGTTGAGACTTCAGCACAAAATAAACACAGTTCCTCTTAATTCGTTTAAATGGTAAATTAAAAACATGGATCTCATGTCTGTTCAAATACTTGGGGTTTTATTTCATTTATTTTCACAACATAAACTGACATTCATTCAGTTCAAAATAATATGCCATTTCCATCATATGAGAGAGGACACAAACAAAAACCTGCTATTGCAACCTGAGAATTGTTCTATCTTAGATAAGGTCTGTGGACATCCTCCCTGAGCAAAATTGCTTTTGAAACAGGAAACAAGAGGCAAAAGTAAATCCATAAAACTGTTAGTAAGTGCTATGATCACAGTTTAATCTCTCCTGTGGGTAGTAGATTCAGCTACCTGCACAAGCACCTTCAGTGTACTGTCAGTTCTTTACTGATAAAATTTGGCTGGAAAGAGAATGCTGCTACTATGCAATGCTTGCTCTCATTTAGAAATAGCTGTCTGTTACCATTTTTTTAAAAGTTCATGCATGACTAAGACTCACTTCAAAAGTCTCTTCTCGGTTAGAAGACTTAAAACCTTTTTATTTGTTTGTAAAATTTTAGGCTTGCCTTGTCTTGATAATTTGGTCAAGCCAGTCACCCAAAATGCAATTTGCTGCACAGCAAACAGAATAATGGCATGGTCTATTCAGCACATCCTGAGCTACAGCAGTAGATAAATCATTTGTCAGCAGGTCCTCAGTCGGTATGACAAGGCACCTTGTTTCTGAGCATAAAAATGTATATAACTGTTCAGTAATCAGAAAGCAGCAGCAAATATGCATCCATTCTTTAAAAATATATTACACAGTCTAAAACTCAAAAGCTAAAAGATTTTTTAACTTCCCAGCACAGTCGCTTTGTCACATTTTGAACTAAGTGCTTATTAATTCATTGAGAATGAACTTGACCAAATTTTTGATGTGACTTATACACATGTAAATTTAAACCAACTCTGTCAAGTTCTATGGAATTACTTGAAATTCTTACATCTGAGTTGCCATCAGAGACTCACCAAATATTTTTTTTAATGTATTAGGGAAAGTAGTTCACTTTCACAAACATTGAATTAACTCAGTGTATTAGAAAGAAAAGTGGGTCACTGAAAAATAATCTTTCAAATGCAGAGATAATAAAACACTTCCTGTCTAAAGGCAATTTGTAGCCTAGCTCATGTCAAACACAGAGTCAAGTTATTAAGTTGAATTAAGATTATTTCAGTCGATTGCTGTCATTTTTTGTTTGGATTTCTGACATATTTTGATTATGCATCATAAATTCACTTCAGCTCTGTTTATACTTGAAGCCACAGAAACAGAAGTATCAAACTGCTAATACATATTCTAAATGAAAGTTCAAAATGATTCAATTCCTTCATCCCTTGTATGAAATGATTGAATTGTGTGTTTGTTTTGTTTTTTATAGTGTATTCAGGATATGAAATTTTTGTTTGTGTGTATCTACTCACATATAATGGGTATTTTAATCTTAGACAACTGTCACTATTCAAATTTTCTTACTACTTTTATGACTGTACCACACCATTATGCTGGCAAAGAGTATGAAGAACTGTGAACACTGAACTTTATTTTTGTGATGTCCAAATTCCTTTCATCTGTATGGCTGCACCGGGAAAGTGTTCCTTCTACCCATGTGACATGCTTAGTCTGGGTGAGAAGGACAGAATATCCCTGATTGATACAAAGCACAGTTTTGCTAGTGTAAATGTGTAGTCATAGAAATGTCTTGCTTAGAAATTCATGGTTACTTCCATTCCAAGAAAATATTCTGATGTAGAAGTACATATACATATACATATACATATTCTGATGTAGTGTATGTGACTTTATTTTGATTTTCCGTGGTAACTGTGCCTGGTGCTTTATGGACTATTTGTTCTTTACTCATAAATCCTGATCATCAGAGGCAAATACAACCTTTTCAGGGTTGGCCAGTTTAAACACTTACAGTACTCTTATTCTTCCTTTTTATTGCAAAACTAATCATTTCTAAAGTGATGACATATATGGCTGCCAAAATTGTCTTTTAGGAAAGAAAATACGGTCAGTAACTTCATGTGGAATATTTGTCCAAGAACATCCTTGACCTGCTGTTACTAAGTTTGCTCTTTCTCTTTTTGTAACATTGAGTGTGGACACTTATAAGACTTTTCACAGAGCTTAGTGTAGCTCTGCGACCAAGAGGAAAGATGACAGGTTGGTTTGTGGTACTGGTGCATAAGAATGTCTCTGGAAGACTTCAGTGAAGAAGGCCTCTAAAAGTTCTCCCGCATCATCTACAGGCCTCTTCATTCTGATTAAACTGCAGCTGGGTACTTATAAACACCATCAGGTATCCATATTCCCGTATAGCAAGTTCGTCCTATATCCTTGAGTTTTGTGATTTAGGACAATTTAAAACCATGCTTTGACTAAAAGCATTGCATCTACCTGGAGCATGAGATAAGACAGAAAAATGTTTCCTTCTGTTCTATGAGAGTGTCCGTACTGTGCATTCTTCTGTATAGAATTTAAAGGCCTACAGAAAGATTTGGGATTTTTTTTCATATTCTATGTCGTAAAATGGTTCTAGTTAAATACTGACAAGAAATGTATGTGCTATTCTTAAAAAGAAAACTTAGATGACTGCTACATCTTCCAGTGCTAGTGTGTTTATAGTTATACCTAACAAATAGATTTTATAATTCTCACAAGAAAACTAAAGCTGCATTTACAGTAAAGAATGAATATTTCCTTGGCTTCTTGCCCTCTAAAAGTTACAGTGGCTACCAGGACACACCACAGGGAAGAAAGCTTTAAATCTTCCATGCTCTAGGGCTTTGTGTCTTTTGATATTCATAGTAAGGAATATTTGCGTAACTGTACACTTGAAAATGCGAAGCAGGCATGTTTAACTCCTCTTTCATTCTGCAGGAGATCTTTCCATTTCCTTGTGATACCAGCCCAGTATGCTGGATTTTTCATACAATTCTAACTTCAATGAACTGTAACTCCAGCCATGCTTTATTAAAATAGTGCTGATATTCTAACCATACCCATTCTAACCGTATCTGCAGAAGCCTTAGCAGCCACATATCAGCAAATATGCAGAAGTTAATACCATTATTTTGGTTCATAAACTAGACAACTGCTCAAGAGCCGTGGTTGTTAATGTTTTACAACCACTGGCATTGCAGGTGTTACTCCAAACCATGAACAAGATCAGGATCTGCAGAAAAACATTAAGTGTGAAGCCAGTCTGCTGTCTCTCTCAGACTGGGTTCTCATTAGATTATACTTTTCAGGAAATAACATTTTTCTGGAAACAATAATCTACCATAGCTGTAAGCAGTATCAATTGACTGTCAGTTATGTGTTCGTTAATTTAATTCTTCACCTCACTCTCACATACACTTAATGCAAAATGCTATCTCAAATTTAGAACAGAATGAAGTCTTCTAACAGAAGAACCTTTATAGGCGTATCATCTAATACTGTGTGGTCTACAGCCCTATCCAAAAGGGTTCGGTAGGTGGCTGGTCCCTCCTGGCTGTACTGGGGGGTGGTGAGCCCTGAGCTGAATTGGGAATGTGGAATCCAAACTAGACAGGAGGCAAGGAAAGGGCCACCACCACTGTCTGCTGTGCCGTTTGACAGAGCAGATGCTTGTCTTCCTGTGCTGTTTTAACCTTTGGCCACAGATGAATCTGTAGCCTTTGCTGGGCCCTTGGCAGCATGGGGCTGGGAGTGCTTTGGGTGAGGTTCCTGCCTCAGTGCCTCTGATTTGAGCTGGCAGAGCTGTCGAGACAGCTGAGCTTTATTCCCCAGAGAAAGCCTTCACAGACCAGGAACGCAAACCTAAAAGATAGCTTTGCAGTAAGTCACCTTTCTGCTGTAAAGATATGAAATCATTGTCTGAACCATGATTTGTTGGATTTCTGTGTGCGCCAGTTACTTTTATAATTGTATGGCCCTTCCTAACAATTACAACTGAAAATCTAAGTCTTTTCTCTAGCTGCTCTGTTCTTCTGGCAGAAATTTTGAGTGTCTGCTACCATGAAGTATTCTGTAATCATTTCAAGTGTAAATTTCCAGCTTTTTGCCCGATGTAAAGTGACTTATGGACCGTTAACGTGATTTACAGATCATACATGCGGTCACTGTTTGTGGAAGCACAGTGACAGGAGTCAGTTCTGAGGAAAGCAACTTTATCTGTTGCCTGCTTACCCTGCACTGAAATGTCTTGAAGGCTGGCATGCAGAAATGATTACAAAGGTGTATCCCTTGCCGAGACAGTACTACATACAGTGTGCAAACAAAAGCCATCAGGCGCGGTTTCCTGAAATAGGGGTTTCACAGTCCTGAGGAAAACGAAACGTGACTTCAGTTGTCCTTCTGTATACCCTAGCAGTAAGACTACAAGCCAGTAGGTTGGCAAACCAGGCCTGTCAAACCCTGGCAATGGGATCACTAAAGCGAGTAGTTCCAGGCTTACCGTGGAATGGACAACCGTGGGAGATTGTCGTGGTGGTTTAAAGCCTTGTTGATGGAAAACCTGATTTAATGTAAGCATTTGGATAATAAATACACTAAGCGCCCCATGGGGGAAGAGGGCAGGTTGAAGCAGGGCGCTGCTACAGGCGGTTGAGTGTATGCTTTGCAATGACAGCCCTGCCAGAAGAGAATAGCAATAATTGGGTTGGGTTTTTTTAAAATTTGTGTGACTAATGGAAGCAATTTTTTCAAATCTAAGTTGAGGTTAAAGCCTTAGATGTGAATTTCATTGAGGCAACTGTTTTTCCTCCCCCTGCGTCCCTGACACGAACACAAAAGTGAATTCTGATATGCCTCCTTTTCTTTGTACTTGGCACTGTAGGTAAGCTCTGAAACACATCAAGCATAATTAAACCTCACTACCTGTTTGGGAGTGAACCTGTTCTTTTTATTACAGGTTTCTGCTCTGTTCTCTGCTAAGTTGACAATTTAGGTCTTAAAATATTGCTTAAATCTCTGAAAAGTGTTTATTCTTAAGAAATCAGAGCAGCAGGAGTACTGGTGTTATGGCATATCTGTGAGCAACAGACTTAATGGGACTTTGATTATCTCCAGATCCCTTATTTTACAGATGTTTGACATCATACATGGTTTTTCATTTGAAATAAAATCTTTGCTGTGAAAACAATTTGTTCAGCAGCAAAATCATAGATCTTTGGAGACTCCATGAGTAAGAGTATCAAAGAAAAAAAAATAGCTGTCTAATATAAAAAATAACATTGTCCTGAATCTCCTTCAGATGCTTCTAACTTTGTTTTTTGTAGAAATGCATCCCAAAATTTAAGAGGCTGGATCAGTATCACTGCTTTTTTAATATTATTTCAGATGGCTAAACAGAATTAACATGCTTGCTGCTGGCTATGCAGAAAGAGAGAGGATCAAACAAGAGCAAGGTAATGTGTTGTTATTTTGGTTTCTTCTGTCAGCTCTTATCACAAGTTCATCTGTTCTTTTTTCCTTGCTGTGTATCAGGCCTCATTCTTGTCATCTGAAAGCAATTCAAATGTGGGTATCACTGTTGCTTTAGAGAATTCCTTCTCTCTCAGGGTTTTTGATTAGCTCCTTCAGATTCTGGTCCACAGGCAATGGATTATTTCTGTGAAGGCTACCTAAGCAACAAATGTGCTGCCAGTAAGCTGTGGTATGTGGTACCAAGGAGACTATGTCCCCTACAAGAAGCGACTTCAGAATCTGCAAATTAAAAAAAAAAAAACAACCCAACACCATTGCATTTGGTGTTTGAATTCACAGGAGGTAGGAATGCATGAAATCAGTCTCAGGAATGAAACCATTATTCTAAAGCCTGTTGACATAATTGGATTTCCCCTAAAGGCTTTAATTTGAAGACCATTTTTTTTTTGTGATTTCTACTATTTTGCTGTATTGAGGTGTGTGCTAAAGCCCTGTCGGCATTTCATTTGGAGTTGCAGGTTTACAGCATTTTACATCTGTTTATTTTTAATGTCTAATATTTATTGTGAGGGTAGTGAGACACTGAAAAGGGCTACCCAGGGAAATTGTGGATGCCTCCTCCCTGGAAGTGTTCAAGGCCACGTTGAATGGGACTTGGACCAACCTGGTCTACTGAAAGATGTCCCTGCCCATGGCGTGGGAGTTGGAACTAGGTCATCTTTAAGGTGCCTTCCAACCCAAACCATTCTATGATTCTGTGATTTCAGAGGTTTAAAAAGCAGCATGTGTAAAATGAGTCACTTTGCTTTAGTTTACTCCAGTAGAAAACCTGTTTGCAGACAGGAAAAAGAAGGGGTCAATCCTCAGTTCTGTTGGGGAGGTTGTGTCCTAGAATTGCCAGTGACATGGATTCACAGGAGTGTTCCTGTACAACTAGCTGTATTGGCAAGCAGCTGCCTTTTGAATCCATGCTCTTTATTACAGATGTACTTGGCAGCAGGTGCCGGAAAATTGTAGTGGTCATGATGATCCACAGCTTATCCAGATGCCTGTCTGCCTGCTGCCCACTGAGTCAAAACTTCACTTTTTAATTCCGTGGCATTACTGCCTTCATAATAAGGTTCTGTCTTTTGGCCCTAAAAACTTACAGCTTGGAGCTGTATGTATTTCATCTTGTCTTTTCTTTACAAAGACTGCATTTCTAACCATTTTTCAGGGAGATTTATGTTCAAAAGGCTGTCACTAGACTTCAAAATTTGCCACATGGTGTCCTCCTTTCCACCCCAAGTCATGGTTCTGTACCAACCTGTGTGACAACACCTTTAACCCTGACCTTCTGGTCTGACACCATGAGGAAGATGTGCACAGTCTTCCTCTCTGCAGTGTGTTGCTGTGGTGCTGTTTTCATGGGAGATGCTGTGCTAAAAAAATCTTTTCCTCAGTGAGAAGAAAGGGTGACTTTGGCAGGCAGGTAGAAACATCAGGAGTGGCGTATTCTGTAGTGGCAGAAGATTAAAAAGACTGCATCAGAAAATTATGTCTGCCTTGATTCATACTGATTGCCTCACCACAGAGCATCCTAGATGAGTCAGCTTGGGGTTGAAGAGCAGTGGCTTACAGCACACTGCCATAATTCAGTGATCGCAGCGTGCGTGGGAAAGCTTTGGTGCACTTTGTCCTTATCGCACGTAACTACATTGTACCTACTGTTGTTGCATTTCTAATCATGTCTTCCAGTAAATGCAGCTGCTTATCCTGGGAGTGTTGCTCACAACCCTGTTTTAGTCTGTTACGGTCCTTGGCACATCACGTAATTCGTAACACCAGGCCTTCTGCATTCACACAGCCAAGGACAGCAGCGCCATGCTCTACTGTTCCTCCAGTCGTGTTCTCAGTGCCTCACCAGACTTCAAAATCAGTTTGGAGGGAACCGTGTAGCATCTGTCACTGCTTGAAGAGGCTGTGAGCAAACTCAGAATCTTGGAGTCTTCTAGGAAATCCTCTATCTTAGCATTCAAAGCCAAATTCAAACTTTTATTGACAGCAGGTTGGCCCTAGAATTACAGTAACATGTGGGACACTAAGGGAAAAGATGTGTGAACAGTTATGCTAGCACTGTCCAAGTGCACAATTGCAGACATGATACACCTTTCAAAATTCAGATGGATGTGGGGAAATATTTTTGCTACCAAGCAATCACTGAGTAATAAAATAGCAGATGATCCAGCTCGTAAACATGAGATCATGTGCATTCAGGCCTCATGTTACCTATTATTAAAATTATTAAAATGTCTCCCTATTGAAGATAATCAGTGAGACCCCACTTACTATGGAAATTATATCCCAGGCACTGAGAGACCTCTAGCAGCATTCACTCACATTGATTTATCATGCACAGGTAGGTAAAATCTATCCTCTTTGTGTTGCTTAGTTGTGTTTAGCGTGGGAACCAGTATCGCATTGCCCCCTCGCTGCTGTACAGTGTTTTTATACCTCTAGTGATTTTCCTTGTCTCCCAGCAAAAGGGCTATTAAACAGCTCAGTAGTGTCCCTAATTAGCAGAGGCATCAAGTTAGCAAAGTAAAACCTCTCTATCACTTCATGCATTTTGCAATTAGAAAAACTGTGAAGATGGAATTTTCTGTATTCAGTGACTGTACCAGTTGTCATCTGCATATCTGATCTTACAAAAGGTCTTTTATTTCTGTTCAGTTCAACCCTTTGCAGCAAAGCTTTATAATAGCTCTGAAAAAATTCAATAGTAGTTGTCAAACCTCTTTCAATTAGGAGTTGAATGGTTCTGAATCTAAAGTGCATAAATATATTCTGAGTGCTTCAGAGATGCACGAATCACTGAGTTGTGGGTGTACTGCTGAATAAAATGTCACATTCTGTACAGAACAGTTTTACAAAAATACCATCGACTTTCCATATTAAATACAATGAATATTAGCAATGTGGCAAGGGACTTCCTTGGATGAAGAGGTTATATACTTTCCAGTCACATAAAGTCAGAGAAAAAAATACTAACTTACATAAATAGTAAATATTTAATCAGCAAATGGCAGGTCAGTGTTAGTTTATATATGATATATGCAGCCCATTGCTCATTCAGAGAACTTTCAAGATATGCCCTATGTATTGGGCTTATCCATTACTGAATTGGATAAAATATGCAGAAAGAAATACCGCAGCTGTTTGATAGCATTATACACATTTTAGATAGATTCTAATGAGTCAGTTGGCAAAAGCAGAGTATTTTCTAAAATTGTTCAGAGGCTATTTTCATACATTTCATCTGGAAATTGACCCCAGTGACTGCAGAATTTTTCTAGACAAGCCATATGTTGCCAACAGAGTTCCCTGTCTGAAGTAGGGTGCACAAAAGCGTGATTATACAGTGTTTCATTGTATATGGATTTGACAGCAAGAACATCTCTGTATTTTTAGCTAAAATTGGAAGCTGCGCTAAGGCTGCTGAATTTTACTTTCAGAAGAAACAGCTGAGCTCCAAGTCTGCAGAAGTGCCACTGAGTGATACAATTCTGACAGGCCTCTCACCACACGTCGCACTATTAGGCTTTGCTGTAATAGGAATAAACATATTTATGCCAATATTTTCAGGTGGTTTGAGTTGCTGGAAACAAGTTTACTTAAAAACTAAGAGTGATTTTAAAAGTAAGTTTTCACTGGATTTGTGTTCACCAAAAATGAATTATTTGCAGATTTCTAGAGACAAAACTTTTTTTTTTTAATTTCAAAGTAATGAAAACTATTTATGCTGCTTTTTGATTAAACTGTTTAAAGAGATTCTCTCGGGTATAAGATGGCAGGAAGCAAATCAAGAGACTTAGAGTTAAAACAAAGTTGTTACTGCTTGGAAAAATTAAATAGATAAATAAGGCTGTCCCCACCATTACTACAATTTAAAAATATACAAGATTTTAGGGATGGCTAATTCAAGATAGTGTCATTGAAAGGTAAGTTTTTGCTTTAAATCTTGAGTAAGAATAGGTACACTAGATCATTAATCATATGATACTATAATCATCATAGTAACGAAAAATCATTAAAACCAAAATTGTATGTTACGCCAGCTAGGATTTTTGGTTTAGATTGGTTATGAAGAAGCAATCAATCCTTTTCTCCTCAACTATCAAAGAGAAAGTAGTAAGTCATGTAGTTCATTGAACACTTAACTAAGCAAGGTGAAAATTGCCTGTGATTAGTCTGTGAATAGTCTGAGCAAAAGTGTCCTGTTGTACAATGATTTACTGAAAAACCAGAAGGTAAGAGGCAGAATAAGTATAAATTCCTATCTGGTACATTATTCCATATGTTTTCCCTTTTTACTGATCTGCAGAACATATGAAATAGGCTTGGCCAACACTTGATATCTGGACAAAATGAAAGCTTATCTCCCGTTAAATTTAATTCACCAGATCTGTCCGCTTTGTACTTTATCATCGATCTTTTGGAACTCTCTGCTTAAATGTATTTGTCATATTTTTCCTAATCATCTCATCTCTATGTTCTTGCATGGATAACAGGGCAGCAGCTCTTTCATGAAACAGATCTCTCATATAAAGCATTTCTGTCTTATCTTAAATGCAGCTGTTTTTTATTAGAAATTTAATTGATAAGCTTGGGTAACCGGTAGTATACGATGGAGAAAACAGGTAGAAAAATAGCATTGATTCTTCTTGTGTGCAATAAACCCTACTTCTATGATTTGCCAGTTGGTGTTAATGACGTTTTTTAATGTTGTTTGCAGCCAACAAGACTTTAGCAAGTAACATTTTTCATCTGCTGGAAAAATACTTTCAGCATTTTCCAGCCAATGTATGTCCAATCATAATTATTTTTATGGCTGTAAAAATATTTGAAAATCGAATACTCATATTAGGAGTGTTCTGTATGCATGTTTTATTTATAAGGTGTATACAAGGGTTAAATTTGTGGCTCACTTGCAGTTTGTTGTTAATGTCTCTACAGTGGAGTGCTAGACTTAGTAGATCTCCTAATGTCTTGAATTTTCCCTCTTTAGATTCAAACAGCTCCAAATTTACACCAGCTAAAGTTTACAGAGTCAGCATTCACTGGTATTTAACTCTCAGTAATACTAAGGATGGAGTTTCGTGTTGCTTTTATGAAAGCAAGTCTCTGTGTATAAATGCATCAAAACATATTGGTAGTTCCTGATCTGATCTGTATGTAACTTGTAGATTACTGGAGTGAGAGTGATAAGGAGGAAGCTGACACTCCATCAACACCCAAACAAGACAGCCCACCGCCCCCATACGACACGTACCCACGGCCTCCTTCGGTAAGTCACCTTCAAATATCTACAGGAATGACTACATAAAATGTCCCTGTTGCCTACTTTCCTGCTTAAAAGCACATGCATGCACACATTATGGCACTCTCCAGTATATTTTTTGAGTCAGTGCTTAAGGCATTTGTTAACGTACCTCACTAACTTCAAGAGCCACCACTACTGGTTTCACTGGTTTGTAGAGAGCATGGATTTGCAATCCCACTCACCATACAAAATATATTGTTACATAATTCTTTCACCCTATTCTTCGTTCATGATGGACCCCTACTCATCCATGCAGTGCCTCGCCTCCCCCTTACTGACTTTTCTGGCAAAACGTTGTTCCCTTAGTAACAACACAGGCTTTTCTCTGAGGTTTCAACAGATGCGCTGTGAAGCTTTACAGTAATAAGTTGCACTTGAATTCCAGAGACATGCCAACTTAAAAATGTCCTGTCTTATATCGCAAACAGTGACGCCAGTTGTTCTGTTGTGAAAAAGCAGGTTTCTCTATAAATTAGAACAGAAAGGGTTTTGTTTTTTATCTTTTTCTTGAAGCAGTTGTTGATACAAAACCAGAGTATGGACCTTGTTCTATACTACCAATTTTAAATTTAACATCCATATACTCAGACAGTTAAGTAATGTATCTTACTTGAATATAGTTTTTAAAAGGCAAAAATTTGGAATGAAAAATTGGGAAAGTCTGAGGAGCAAGAATGTTCACAGTGTTTAATTTGAATGCAATACATTATCTTCCAAAATCATAGATCTTTGAAATGCACTGAGGCACTGCAAATATGATTCCAAAGGAAATTTTAGCAAGATAGGATGATGACAAGCATTTGGATGGCATTTTTAATGGACCAGGCACATGTCTTCTATGTCTTCCTCAGTGCCATGTTCTGCAAAGTTTTCTGCAAATAACTGTTGGCTTATTTTATAGATCAAGGGACGTAAGGATACTTACTATGAATAAGTGTCAGAGTTTGACCTGTGTAGATATGGGCATGCCTTACAGTTAGGATCAGGGCAAGTTAATCAGGTAGGTTCATGCCTTCGTTACTGAAACGGGTGCCGTCAGTGCCAATGAAAAGCGCGTGATTATTACTAGAAGTAGGTCTCGGTCCACAGTGATCTGAAGATCGCTCCATTGCTGACGTTGTAGATGAGCTGCGCAAGCCCTTACGTGGAGCCAAAGCACAGCCGACTCTCATCCACGGAGACCTCCCAGTCTCAGTCGTCGCACGAGGAGTTTCGCCCGGAGGCGGCGGGGAGCATCACCGACTCGCCTGTTCGCAAGACGGCGAGCCAGCGGCGCTCCTGGCAGGACCTCATAGAGACACCGCTGACGAGCTCGGGACTCCACTACCTGCAGACGCTGCCACTGGAGGACTCGGTGTTCTCTGAGGCGGCCGTGGTCTCCCCCGAGCACCGGCGGCAGTCGACCTTGCCGACCCAGAAGTGCCACCTGCAAGACCACTACGGCCCCTTCCCCCTCGTGGAGGGTGAGCGGATGCAAGCGCTGAATGGGAATGGGGGGAAGCCCCGGAGTTTCACTCTGCCTCGGGACAGCGGCTTCAACCACTGCTGCCAGAACCTCTCCATTGGTGCCACCGATCACCACGAAGAAGCACAGCAGAAGGAGGTGGAGGAGGACGAGGAGGAAGAGGAGGAGGAGGAGGAAGGCAAAGCAGCAGAAGAAAACCAGGAAGATAAAAGTAAGTATGGGATATTTCTGTGGCTTTTCAAGGGTCCTGTTTGTGTAACGTAGAGGTTGTTTTTTTCCTTTTTCCTATCAAAAAATCCCAACAGTCTTTCAACATCCTCCATGTTTTATCAGGTCCCCCTTGTTGCACGCCTCTTTCATCTGCCTTGTCTGTAAGGTTTAGTAACCAGACAGAGTGCTGCATGACCTCTCACAATCACCAGACAGTTCCCCATAGGCTGGTCACCAATCACCTCCCACTAGTAATTCTTAGTTGCAAATGGATTTTGCTTCCATGCTTTCTTCCCGCTTCCATTTGCGCAGTGGCACATGTATGTCTCAGGACATACTTAGTAAGATTTCCAGCCAACCATCTGGATTGTAAAAAACACTCGGTAAATCCTGGCATGCAGGGTCAGGCTGTGATTGAATAGTAGCCAGGCAGGTAGGTCACAAAACAGGCCAGAAGGTGTAAGAAGTAAAAAACCAGAATGTATTCTCCCCAGTTCCTCACCTTGTGATTTATATGGAGAGAAGTTCAAAAAATATTTCTAACAAACAAAAACTAATAGAGAACAACAATGTGACCAGCAGGACTTAAAAAAAATCACAATGTTGAGTTGTCTCTTACATGGGACATTAACTCCATAGATCTTAGTGCTACTTGTCAAAAGTAATCCAAATAAACAGGGTTTGGAGAAGGTCCGTGCCCCTCCTGAACGTGTAAATGTATTTCTGTGTCTGTTTCATGCTCTGTCCTTCACTGTCATTTATGAAGCTTCTCAGCATGTGTTGCTAGCAAAGTTGAATTCACACCCAAGCTGTAGGGTTAGTCAATGAAGCCTCCATCCATGAGTTGTGGGGTTATGCTGCAATTAAGTTACCTGACGTGATGAGGAAAGCAAGATGTCCCCAGGAGCTCTCAAAGGTTCTGTGCTATCTGGCTACTTCAAATTCAGGTTTTTTCACTGCATTAAAGGAATGTAAAAATGATAAAGAGATACAAAAGGGTGATGAAAGCTTTGGATAATTAATTACCTACCTAAGTGAACTCATTAAGGTTAGCACTTTTAGTTAACATTAAAATTCATGTGGACATTATTTAGTCTACTTGAAAGAAATCAACAGTTTTCCATTGCCCTTATACTCTAGTCCATAGGTTCTGAACATAGAAAATTCTGGACCTTGAGAATACAGTGATTTCATTTTCAGATACTAAATTTGATGCTGTTAAAAGTTTAAAAAGGCACTATTTCAGTTGCATTCATGCATGGCACTTTCAAAAAAAACCCCATACATTTTTTAGAGTAATATTAGACTCCAACTGACTGTGAAATGAAGCTGTCTAATTAACAGGGTTAAATTTCATTAAGCATGCAGAATGTTTTATCCTATTTTTAGCTTTCAGTTTTGGTTTTCAAATGAGTTTTTACTGATACCAAGACAAAAATATTTTTTTAAAAATTCATCACAGTCAACGAAAAGGGTCAAGGAGACTTCCCACTGGTGTTCTTGTGCTGTGTGGGCATTACTCAGATAAACTGTTGCAGGCTTTAAGTTTTTAGGTGTTTTAAATCTCTATTTTAACACACTTAGGTTCCTAGTTGTCAACATTTTATAGCATACAAAACTAATGAAGGACTGGTGCTTGATTTAACAGGACCAATTTCCAAAAAAGGAAAAAAGTTTAAGTGGTGTCACTGTATACATATACGTTTTTTTCTCTTTTACTGAGGAGGTTTTCTTGCTTGAAGCTTTCACAGGAGATTGGGTTTGAGACATTAATGATTGACTAGACAAGTAAAGTACTCATGGTGAATTATTGAAATTAAAAAAACAGAAAGAAAATATTGTTTAGTCTGTTGAAAAGTTTAAGTGTTGAATTGTTTGTTGCTATGGCTGCAGTGTTCTGTTTGCAATGCTGGCTTTTTCCAATGCCCTTACAAGTAAATGGCAGAAGGGATTTCATGCAAGTGGTGTTCTTGAGATTTGCTTATAACTGCGAAGTCCGCTAACAGGATGGGTGCCTTTGTGCGTGCTGCGTCATTGCCCCCTCACCTCCATTGCTCTGGAAAATGAAATATTGCAACTGGCTGGAGAAGGGGAGTCCTCTCTCTTTTAGAAATGTTTTAGCCTCACATTGAACTTTCCCTGACGTGGTATCAGATGAACCTTTTAAATGTATATATTTGCCTTACACATTTGTGAACCTGACATCATTCTGAGCTCGTGGATGATTATATGTGTTCTTGTGTGTACGTGTATGTGTTTTAAAGCTTAATCATTCCTATTGCTTCTTGTGCGGAACAAGGAATGCAGCTCTTTTGCAATTGTTGCTATACAAGTCAAATGTCATTGCCAAAAGTTTGTTTTCTCAGCTTTTTGTTTTACATTGCCACTTTTAAAACCTCCTGAGTTTAAATCAAATTGTTAAATGCAGTCCTATTTCTTCCAACATCTTTTGCAGAACTGTGTTCAAATAATCACAACACAAATTAGGAGCTCCGTGCTTTTTTCAAATGCTGCCCCAAGCTGCTATAATTTAATGTAGTCTCGTTGACTTTCTACTAAAGCTACACTGACTTGCAACAACTAAGCATCTACTCTCTGTTAATCACTACTTTATGCCTTAAATAGGTATTGCAAGATTTTACTGACATTGCACATAGTTCTCTGTATCAGCTCTGCTGTAATGCCTAGATATATTATGGTAAACTGATAATGCGAGTTATCCTTTCCTGTCTTTATCTGTTAGGATCTAACTTTGTTGTGTGTTCAGTTGCTTCTTTTTGTCTTGTTATATAACATTGACATTAGACTGCTAATCTTTAATGGATTGTTCTATTTTCCCTAATTAAAAAGACTTCTGTGTAAATCATTTAGACATTCCATATTGACACCGTCCTGTAATGGTCCCTGGCTTTATAATCAAAGAGAATTCTCTTGTGGGATATTTGTGTTTGTCTGTGTGTTTGCTCCTGAGCCTGTGAAAATGGCAAACAACATTCAGACCTGTGGCACCAAACATCCCTCTTGCTGCAATGCTCAGAGGCAGCCTGCACACAGGGAGCAGGTCAATGGCTATGTCACAGTGTGTTGTGTGTCTGTGATTCAATTGTGAAGGATAACTTGGGCCACTTCAGATTTGTCTTCTGTAACTGATAGAAGGTGATAGAAGGAGACAGATGTGCATCATGGCACTGTCAGCCCCTTCACCTCTGGCTCCACTGCTGTCTGCTCTCTCTGTGTTTCAACAGGTTTCACCTCTTAAGGCCAACGAATCCTTCTGGGATCTTCTTTTGGTGATTATTTCTGGATTTTGTCCTAGGAAGGCTTGCTTTATTTTTTTCTGTATCATTTGAAAGTATTTTTGATGGTCATTCCTTCGTTTTCAAAAACTTCTTCGATTTGTGGGACGCTAACAAGAATTACTAAGAGTTCAGGATTTAAGACAAGGAGGTACTAGCTTTCCACAGAGTGTAGCTGGCTGTAGATCCTGATGACTTACCCACAGGAAAACCTGCACCTTTATTCTGTGCTCTCTGAACAAGTCTTTAGAGAGCAGTAGTGTCCATGGGAGTCTCTGGTACGGACAACTGCCCAGATAGTGCCAGGGCAGGAGCTCTGCTGCTGGCTCCACATGCTGCGGGGCTGGCCGGAGCAATACTGGGACACTTTCTGGGGAAGTCACACCTGACACCTGCAACAGTATGCAAGGGAGATTTCCACTGGGCAGGCTCCATAAGATTTCTTCAGGTTTGTAGATAGGAAAGCACTAATGTCTGTGTTTGAGTTTGAAAAGGCATTTGCAGATGGAAGAATTGAGTTAGACTGTCTTCCCACTGTTTAACCCCCCTGTCCTTCTGCATCATTCCTCATGTCTTTGTTCCCTTGTTTCTGCAAGTTTTCCGTCCTTTTTCTGCACTCTAAGGACTGTAATTCTTGATGACGTGTGTCTTGGGATTTTTTTGTTGCTATCTCATCATCATAATTTTGGAATATCTCCTATATAGGGTGGACAACTATAACAAAGTCTTAAATAGATTTCCATAAGTCAATGTCTGTCCTTTTGCAACAGTTGAAGGGTGAGGGCCATTTGTTTGCTGCACTGATTTTCCCACCAGAGGTGCAGCAATCTTCCATGTGTGACTTGGGTCACCTTGAAAAGATTTTGCAATGTAACTTAAGCCTGGGCACACTCATACTTATTCCCTGGCATTTTGCTCCATCACCATAAGCTGTTGTTCAGGTTTGCAACATCTCCTGGCAGCCCATGCTTGGTCCCACACAGTCTAGCCAGTGCTGTCCCGGATGAACACAATAGCCTCATACACCAGTCTCCAAAACATGGCTTTTAACCTTAAACCATCAAAGACACTTGGCAAAGGCTGGAGCAGGAGCTACTGCTGGCATTTTGCAGCTCAGAGAGATATCCGGACCCTGCAAAGTATTTCAGGAAGGCTCCGCTTGATATCAGTGAGAGCTAGTCACTGAAAGAGATGTCAAATGTCTGCTTCTGCTGAGGTACCAAGCCTGAGATATTTTTTTTTTCTTAGTTCTCCTGTAAAAAGATTAGGAACCAGCAAGAGAGTAACAGGAGAAACTGAGACCAGTTTGTCCCACCCCACCTACCAGTCGCAGAAATGAAATTCAAGGTGGCAATGCTTTCACAAAATAGCACAGATGGGTTTAAGGAGTCCCATGATTAGCAGCAAGTTTCACGCACTGTTCCCAAGAAGGTATATACGTGGGACATGCTAGGTGGCATTTGCCTTCAAGAAGGAGTTTTCACTAGTCAAAAATAGATTCTGAATAAGGTCAGGTATTTCAAATTCTGCAATACAGGTACTGGGAGGCTTGATTTATTTTGATGAGAGGTCTGTAATGTGCAGAGCAAATGGTATCTTTAAGATAGAACAATGTTTGCTAATTAAAGACTGTGCTATGAAGTGAGACACTGTGTACCACTTCTAGGTTTTGCTTTTCTGCCATTTGGCAGGGTTTAGGCAACAG